AGAGAGGTAGAGCGGTCGAGAGACAGAGAGAGAGAGAAGAGCGAAACATTATAAACGTAAAGTTCTTGAGACATTTGCCTGCACTTTAGCTTTGGCTTGAGCTTTGCTTTGCTTTGAGATGATTTCTTGGCTTGTAAAAGCTGATAAGGAACTAAGTGGAATGGTAAGTGGAAGGACTTTACAGTTATGTTCGGGAATTCCATTAATTCAATGAGAGAGGCATTTAGTTGCCAATCTGCAAAAGTCACTCTTGAAGGCCTTCGAGCCTGAAAGATCCATTAATCCAATAGAAAAGGGATAATCATATTTCACCAATCCCCATCTGCCAAATCGCTTTCTCCCTCTCGTGTCTTTTGCCAAGCTTATCGTTCCATAATCTAATTAGATTTCCCTATCAGGAAAAGCACCACCTCTCTCTCTTTCCCAAAAAAGAATTCCCACACAGTGCATAAGAATTATTCACTCAATAACTGTTTACCTTAAGAGTTCCAATAATTCAATGAAAGATTATCTGCAGTTGTGTCTCCACTTTTCTCCTTTGCTTTGAAGAACCGCCCAGCTTGATAAGAATTATATCCCAATCTACAGCTGTTTGTTCTCACAGAAATAACTTCCCTCTCAACTAAAGTTCCGCTCACAATAGAAGAATAACAACAAAAAACACTCACTCATACAAAAGCTTAACGGGAAGGATTTTACTACTGCTTATCTTGAGAGTTCCATAATCCAATCAGACAGTTCCCCATAGTAGAACTCCCCTCCACACCCCCCACTACAGCGCTAATCAACAATAGAGAGAAAAACTTACCCATAGCTCTGTGCCCCAACTCATGTTGTTGGAGTTTTCCGCTGCTGCGTTTTCCGATTCGGCCAGTTTGTTGTTGCTGCTGTGTCTACTGCTTGAACTGCTTGCCACTGTAGTAGTAATAATCCACAAAAAAAAAACAAAAACGAAGATAATGTAATCCAAAAGAAGCGCACGAAACGAAACAGTGGAGAGGAAGAAGAGTAAAATATGAGAGATGTTGCTGTTGCTGGCGTTTGTTTGTATGTATGTATTTCCCGCAAAGGTTAATTAATTTTTTTGGTTTGTTTCAACGTTGCGCGTTCTTTGAGAGCACTAATTCCCCCTCGATAAACGTGGAGACACGGCCGACGAATTTGGTGGTTAAACAGGTAAGACGAACCACTCAGAAAAAAAAAAACAAGAATGTTGCAGCCGACGACGTGTCAATGCAGCGCAGCCGGCAGATGGACAGCGGCGCAGGGCAGGTAGCTGCAGCAAAAGGAATGTGCGACCGTTTTTCTGGATAGCGCCAATAATCGAGAGGAAAATAATTAAAAAAAGAAACAAAACCGAAGGGAAATGCACTGGCATTTGCGCTGCAGCGGCGCAGTAGAGAGACAGAGAGAGAGAGAGAGAGAGAAAGACATCATGGGCTGCAGTTCAAGAGAGAGTGCGAGTGCAATTGGAATTTTGAATTAGTTTTTCTTTCTATCTATTGTTTTGGTATTTTACATAATTCGCACACATTTTGCACGCACACCTTCGTACCCCCTCTCTTTCTGTCTCTCCTCCCACGCACTCTTTAGGCAGGCGTTTTTCCCTTGCAACTCGTTTCGCCCGATTCGTTGCACAATTTCATTTCTCAGATGTTTCTTCAATATGCGGCTTGCACTTTTAATAGAATGCGTCATAATTCGGGCGACATTTGCACACACAAACAAACACACAAACAAACAAACACACACACTCGCACACAAGCACGGAACATAGCATCAATTTGTTTCTCTTTTTATATCGCGTTTTTACCTTTGGCCATAAACGCCCGAACGAACGGCCGGATCAAAAAAAAAAGGGTACAAACGGCTCTCTATATACTTATTTATTTCTATTTACTGTATTTACTTATTCGACAACGACGCGCGCAGCAACCGCCCGGTTCAAAAAAAGTTTTGATAATGTGGGCAGTGTGACCGCGGACCCACTGATAAAATATACGGTCTGACCCTATAGAAATATACCAAAGTATACCGTCTCACTTTAAAAATATACCGTAAATATACTGACGAATTCAAATCATATTATACATATTCCTCGATTTTGATATTCCGTCGAATATTACTAGCTATATAGAACATTTAGCCATGCAATCATAATTTTATACGATTTATGAACCTAATTTCTAATTGACTGGTTTATTTTAAACACTTTCTTTTATTGCATTTTGCGGAAAAAGAGGTTTTAGCAAAAATGGTCAAACAAAAAACGGTATTAGCGAAAAGGTCACACAAAATAACGAAAGGGAATAGTCGTTCATATTGCTCAATTTTGATATTCCATTGAATAATGCTGACTAACTAAATCTTTCAGCAACGCCCACATAGTTTTATTCCATTGATGAATCAATTTTCTACAAGATTGGTTGGTTTTTAAGCCTTGCTTTTATTGTATTTATTGTAAAAAAAGACTTTTAAACGAAAAAGTCCAACAAAAAAAGAGTCGCTATGTTGCGTGTAAGCCGTATATAGGCCTTTGTATACCCTATTTTGTTAATTTTATATGAAAGTATAAATATTGATATGAAGATAAAACGTAACTAATAAAGACCTTTTCTCAAATTAACATTTCTTAGACATATTCATTTATATGATGAGTGTTTTGTATATATATCTCGATCCTGATACCTATTCATGGTCCCTACAAGAAGACAATAAGCTTTAAAATATCGTTGAAATAATGAAAATAATATTAAATAATATTGAATTATATTAAAATATATTGAAAATAAATTGTTTTTTCCTGGGATGACAAACATATTCACTATTCTATAACATCCATTTCCCCCAGGGTATATGCGCATGGAATGAGACTCATTGTTCTGAACCGGTTATGACGACTAATTCTTGGTTAATCTTTCTTCCGTCGAATATTCCCAGCTATAGATCCCTTAGTTTTGCCCAGATAATTTTATATGATTGCTGAAACAATTTCGATCAAGATTAACTATTTTTAAGTACTTGCATGTTTTATGTTTTGACAAAAACACGGTTTCAGCAAAAATGTTCAATAGTCGCAGGTTGTGACGTCAATGTTGCAGTTATTTGCAGACTCATTTGTTGTCAACCAGGGTATACCCTATTATTGTATACCCTATTTCGTTTATATTATATTAAGATACTGTTTTCCAAGCTGCTTTCAAATGTAATTAATAAAGGCCTTGTTTTAGATTGCATTTTTTTGTCTAGTCATGCATTTGATTAGTTATTCGTATGTAAAACCTGATCCCTGTAGCGATTCTTTGTCTCTGTAAGACGACCACTAATTGCAAAATATCGTTTAAAGTAGATACTGACTCGTTTCTGCATTAATTACAGCATGGGATGAAACACATTTCCGCAATTCTATATCATCCATATCCCCCAGGGTATGTGTGCATGGAATTAGCAACATGTTTGTGTATGGAATGAGACTCATTGTTGCAATAGCGAAGCTGCGGCGAATCGGGTATTGCCTATATTTCATAGATAGATAGATGCCCATAGATAAATGCATTTTCTACAAGATTGCTTCTTTTAATTACCTTTATGTATTTTTTTTTGACCAAAAAACGGTTTTCAAGTAAATGTTGCCGCAACAGTGTGTATGGAATGGGACTCATTGTTGCTAAAGCGAACTGCGGCGAACTCCGGCGAACTCAAATTCGATTGCCCACTCAATTTTGTACGATTGATGAATCAATTCTATACATGATTGGCCTATTCGAAATACTTGCTTTTATTGGATTTCTATATAAAATTGAAAATTAAATTAATAGATTGATGAAATTGACAAAAATACCATGGGAGCGCGGCGAAAACCAGTATTTCTACAGTATGACCCTCAGAACAGCACCGAAATATACCGCCTAATTTTCAAAATATACCGTAAATATACTGACGAATTCAAGTTCTATTATACATATTCCTTGATTTTGATATTCCGTAGGGTATGCGGAATGTTGCCCTGCCTATGTTGCGGGAACGGTGCTGCCGATTTTTCGATAAACGCTGCTCGCAGCAGATTATCAATACAAATTGGATGTTGCCATCGGTAAAAACGTAAGTCCTTACGTTGTTGCTGCAGCAACATGTTTTGAAATACATTTTTGATGATACGATTTTTTTTTGAAAATATCGATTTTACTTATATATTTGACGATTTTTATTGCTTCAAAATAAAAATCGACGTTTCCGATTCAAATAATTTTCAGTTACAAAACCGTTCCGTAATGTACGATATATTTGAACCTGTGGAAAAGGGCTATATTATATGTAGTGTATATTAGATACATTTTAAATTTGAATACTCCTGGGTCCGTTAATCTGACCACATGGCAGTACCTGCTGAATAGCATGATGACATGATGTCTTGTTAATATTTCTCGATGCATTTTCACTCTTAGCGACTTAGCAGTTCCAATCAGCACCATATTTCAAAAAGAGCCAACAACCGTTTCGAAGAAATCTTGTGGATTCTGAAAATAGGAGCCCCAATTTATTGATTTTATATGAAAATCTGAAAAATGATCCCTGAACTCCATGATTCGATCGATGGAAAACTTTGCTGATCTAAGTACTAGGCTTATAGCTATATGACATTAGCTGACCTAGCTGCACAAACAGAGACCGCAGAGAACAGAGAATAGTCGGGATATGATTTCAAAACGGCTGTTAGCATGCCATCTCTCTCTCTCTTCGTAGAAAATTTAGCGCAGCCTAAATACAGCTGTTAAAGCGTGGACTTTGCAGGGCTGCAATTAAAAGTTATTGGCGGGATCTCAGCGAACAATTTGACTTAAAAAAAAAAATAAAAGTGCTGCTGGAAATCGTGCAAAGTTCAGCAGGGCACAAGTCATTGTTCTTTCCCGCTTATCGCTCCGGCAGAACTTAGCCAATAGAACTATGGAGCCATCCACAGACAGCCCGCCAGAAGTCCGATAAGAAGTCAAGGACTGGGATTACAAAAGAGCATATAGTATCAGCTCAGAAACTTTATTTCATATTTAGAGCCCGCGGGGCGAGAAAATAAAAAAGTGTAAAGAAAAATAAAAAACATAATTGGACCGAGGACCATTCTACATTTCCACATAGGTGGGCATGGTCATTACGCCGCAGTTGTTCTTGCGGGCTGACATCAGGATGTAGCCATCGTTGCCCCAATAGGTGGACCAGGAGTTCTTTACCAGCCAGTAGTCCTCGCCCTTGATGGTGCCAAAGCCCACGGCCAGAACGGCATGGTCCAGGCCATCCACATCGTTCTTGCACTCAGGCTCGTAGTAGACGCCGTGCGAATAGAAGCTGAAAGTTTTTGGTGAGGCATCAATGGCCACCGAGAGGGGTCCGTGCTTGAGGAGGGCCAGCTTAAACGCATTCGGATCGTTGGAGGTGACATTTACAAAGCCCTTGATGGGCGCCACGAGGGTGACGTTATTGATGCGGCAGTAGCCGTCCTGGCCAAGGTACGGTCCGTACTCCTCTTCGGTGGGGACGCCGCCCACCTGCATCATCCACTGATAGACGCGGAAGTCCTCGCCGCCATCGCAGCCGTTGTTGCCAAACGGCCAGGAGCAATCGATCAATGCCTGCTGGGAGAGACGGACCAAATCGCCGCCGTTCTTGAGGAAGAAGGCGCCCTCCAGGTGGCCAATGGTACCAAAGGACCAGCAAGATCCGCACACCGATTGGTCTGACATGAAAATGAAATACATTTAATTCAAGCAGGAAGACACGCCAGAGACACGCCTTGGGAAATACCTTTGACTGGGGTAACAGCACCGAAAAGACGCCAATCGTACTGGGCGGGAATCTCATCCTGGTGCTTAGACACATCGTAGGGGAAGGGCTTGCCTGTGTTGTAACCGCCTGACGATTTGTAGCCGCGTCTGGCCTTCAGCTCCTCCTCGGTCTTGTCGGCCAAATGATTGACGGCCAGCGTGTAGGTCAGCTTAGCCCGGTTCTTAGAGTGAATGTAGCGCAGGTTCTGGCGGAAGATGTTCTTCCTGTGCTCGTGCTCCTGCTCAGTGCGGTAGGCCATGCCGTGCTTGTGCTTAAAGTGGTGGAAGGCCCTATCGACGTGCTCGTCAGTGTGCGAGATAAACTCTTGCATCGGGTTAAAGGTGGCATAGTGGCCAGTGCCCGGCCCGGGGAAGCCCACGCACGTCAAGCTCTCGTCGATCTCGAACACCTCGTGGGGGATATCGACGTGCTCATAGCTGTCGTAGTCAAGGTAGTAATGATCGTAATGCGAGCCTAGGAGCGTGTTGTAGCCACGCATCTCGTAGCGCACTGGGATGGGCATACGGCTGGCCGGATAGTGTGGCGACTTCTTGTAGCGCACCCACAGCGTATATACGTTTTTCTTCTGGCCGATGGTCTCCTCCAGGCGGAACTTGTCGCAGGTGAAGCCCAGGAAGGTCTCGGTGCCGATTAGCTTGAATGGCTTGGCGTCCGGCAGGATGCTCTGAGTCTCCACTTTCTGCTCGGACGTGCCGTTGACCTGCAGGCAGGTCAGCTTGTTCATCTCCTGCTGCGTGGTGATGGGCGCCAGCTTCAGCATTGTGCCGTAATCCCCCTCCCCGGCCAGCTGGTACGTCTTCACCATGCCCCCATAGTAGTCGATGCGCGATCGTTTGGTGTTCTTATCGTACCAAGCGTAGAACGGCTCGGCAATCTCGGCATAGGGTATGTACAGCGTGCCCTTCACAATGTAGTTGGCATCCCAGCGCGGCGGGTTAGTGGCCTCTCCTGAAGTAGCGGTTGTTGTTTTTGTTGTTGGGAGAGGGAGAAAGAGAGGGAGTTTGTCAAATGCAAACGGTAAAGAGCGGCCATCACTGTCTTGGCTCACGCCACTTTTCGCATACACACATATGTATGTGCATACATTATTTTCTATGTAAATCTATTCTTTGTTTGACGAAACACTTTTCGCAATCTATTATTTACTCACCTGAGAGCGCCAGGCCCGCCAGCAGCGCTAAAACTAAAAACACTTGCATTCTCAGGAAATCTGTATTGAATAATCTATGATTAAATCGGAATTCAATATTAAGCTATTTGTTGTTCAGTTCAAAAGCTAAGCTCTTCTGCCGGCTCAAATTAACTTTTGCTCCAACAACAACTTTTTACAGCGAAAGCGTGAGAAACGCGTTTTGTCATTTAATGGTGCAAAACTGAAATACACAGCTCAAAACAAAGTATTACTTAATTTGAAATGTCAATTTTAAATAATTGTGAATTTTCGCTCTATTAACTCGAGCTTTTTTTGGTTCATATATTCTATTGGATTGCATTCATATTCATGCCACTCATTCCCTTTCAAACAATTCTACTTTGGCGCGCATCTCGACAACAGGATCCACATTTGTAGTTACTGTGTAGTTACCATGTACACATTTGCTTACCTTTTTTGTTTCAACCTAATTTTATAATAAAAGGGAGTCCTTCAAATAGGCCAGTATTGTAGAAAATGTATTTATCAATCGGATAAAACTATGAGTTCAGGGCTGAGGGTCCTAGATAGCTAGTAATATTACACCGTATATTAAAAGCTTGGAATATGATTTCCGTTCATGGACAGAGATCGATTAACCCATTGTTGGCCAGTGGTTTAATTATCATCCACGGATATGTTGAAGCATGAAGAATTTTATGTAAAAGTAAAGCAAGTAAAAGATGCCGCGCTTTTTTTGCATCTAAAGAGGAAGGATATGATGGAAATACAAGAAGAATTAACAAAATATATAATATTCCGCGTTTTAACTGAAGTTGTTCACCTGTTTAACTAGAGGGGGCGAAGTGGGTTAAATTAGTTCACCCACCCACGCAAGGTCGTCCACATAGATTACTGAAGGACTCCGAGAGACGTACTAGTTCAAAATAGTGTTCTATAAATGTTTAAGTGGTGAACGTGGTAGTTAAATGTACTTACTGCACCCATAGAAGTGCGCGTTGCAGATATCGCAATTAAAATTGCATTAAAATTTTATTTTATCGTGTGCGCTAAATGGGAAAAGTTCAGTGATTAGAGGCCCAGAAAGTTTTTTTTTGGAAAATGATGTGAAAGTTTTAATGCGAATCAACGGACGAGATAGGCAAATACAATGTGCCGTTAATTGGAGCAGCGAGCAGAACAGGTACAAGAGGAGCACACAACGAGGTAAAGAGTCCTGATGCGAAAAATGCTTTAAATTAAATCAAACTAGTATTTTTCCTGATTAGCTTTCGGTAGTTTTTGTTTTTTAGCAATTTAGATTCAACGTAAAAAGGATGTATCCATATATATACATATGTATGTATGTATGTACCTATTATGTAGCTCTATGCTGGAGCATTTCTTGCCCGCCTCACAATTGTTGGTACACACACAGGAAAAGTCAACAAAAACAATTTATATCATATACATATATATAGTACATACTCATGTACATATGTACATATAAATGAACAAGGAGCGTGTGTGCTGGAGCAAGATGCCGCATAGCCTTGAATGGCGTTTAGATAAAATTGCGAATGAAAACGAAACAAAATTACTGTGATATTTGAATAGAGGTTGGGACTACAATTTACCATGGAATAGATTTATTCACTTAAATCCAATGGGAATTCAGATTTACCGACAAACATTTTGAAGCCCCCGGGATAGCACAATTTTGTGTTAGTTAGGCTCTGCTTCGGAGAGCCGAAAATGTAAAAGTTTTATTAGCCGTGTGTGCAGGACAGGGCACACACGCAAAAAAAGAGAAAACACAAGCAACGTATTTCGATGTATGCACGTGTGCGTGCATGCATGTGTGTATTTTTTGCACACATACATATGCATGCACGTGGGTGTGTGTGATTCTACGCGATTCTACCGTTGCTGTGTGTAACCTACATTTTAAACGGCAGTGCACGTATGTTTGTATGAAGCCGAAAGCCGTGGCCGAACTCTCAGTTGCAGAGGTTTCAAAATTGAAGTGGTGTGGGGCCCGCGGCATATGTAAATTTGCCTTTATCAGTCCCTAAAAGCAGCACACAAACACACACACACACACACACACAAACACATTCAAATACATACAAATAAAAGTGCATGCTTCGCAAAGTCTTATGTACCGCTAGAATCAACAGCACTCTCAGGGGGCGCGCGGCTCTCGCGAGAGCGAAAACACAGCACGAAGTGAGAGCCGAAGCAGTGGAGAGCGGCGATGCAGAATTCAGCAGCAGTAGCAGCAGGATGATGTTTGCGTTCCGTTACCGTTACTGTATCATAGCTCTCTCGTGCTCCCATTGCCCCTTGTCGCCGTCCACTAAACCAAAGCCGCCTCTGTCTAACCCCTTTCCAGCCCCCTCTCTCCGCCCATTGCACTGGCATTTCCGTTAGCTGCCCCTGTCGGAAAATGTATATGCAAAGAGTTGGGCACAAATTGCATTATGCAGTCCTTAATGGCTCGTTGGGACATATAAATATCTCGCACTTACATAAATTGCTCTGCTCTCTGCTATTTACTCTCCCTCTCTCTTGACCTTCCTCTGTCCCGCCCCCCGCTACCTCCCAGAGTCCACTAAACGGGCCCCCTGTAATTACATAAACACTTTTACCACCGTCAGGTTGGATGTTTGTTGGGCCAGCGAATCGAAATGAAACTTTTGATTCCTCTACTGCACGCCCCCTCCTCCGCATTGAAAAGGAAATAAAAATGAAAATTGTTTCCCAATTATGAGTACGAGTATATATCAGGGCTTTGAGCTGGAAAGCCTCTTAGGAAAACTATACAAAAAATTAGCATTGCCAGGACTATATTCATTTAGTGTGATTTAGCAATAACAGCAGTTCCTTGAGCTGCTTTCCTACCATCCAGCATTCAGCTTCTACCATGTTAGCCGTGTAAATGTCAGTTACAACATCTAGATTATGATCCGTGCCCATCAACGTCAGAAGCCACACCTACGTGCTGTGGGGATCCTTATATAGTATGTGCATACATCATCCACATCATAAGTGCCAACAGCAGGGATACCATCATCCTCAGACGCCAAGCGAAACACATTCTCCATTATAATTTCTGTCATTCAGCGGCGCACAGCCCGCACAGCCCGCCCACTCCCATACGTGTCCCACTTCTGGCTATTTTTATGCCATTTCTGCATTGTTCATTGTTAAGCGCACATTATCGCATTTTCCTCTTAAGGCATCAGCTACAGATACTATTAACATTGCCACGACGCCAGCCTGTCGCCCTGCTCCCAGCTACACTTGCATCCACAGTACGAGTATCCTGCCAAGTCAAAGGTACCCTGTACTCCCCAGACATGTGCTGAATAGGTCTGTCATTACTTCTTGTCAGTGAAAATGAACGAAAGATGAAGAAATTGCGGTGAAAGGGAACACACAAAATCGATTAAAAGATTAATAGGCTCGTCCTATGACGCCTGGAACCCCCCGATTTGACTGAGGGATTGGGAATAAAATGTTTTCGGGTAGAAAGGACGTCAGCTGTGCAACATCATTAAGGTGTTTCTTCGTTTGGATCGATAGCGAAAAGGTTTTTCTCTGCTTACGTTACATGTTGTGCCACCGACTGGATGTACCCGGACTTCTCTCTGATTTGAGTGAACGGGGATGTGAATGGGTTGGGAAAAGGGATAGCTAAATGGATGATTCAGATTGTTGCCACACTTCCACACTTTCTGCCCACTAAGCTGCCGCAGCGTGTGTCCCGCGTGTGTGTGGGTGGCGATGGCGATGGCGATGGCGATGGCGGTGGCTGCCACTATGCTCGTGCATAGGAGCTGGCTGCTATCTCTCTTGGGCACACAAACACTTGGATGCGAAGTGGCTTTTGTGTGTGTGCGCCGCAGTGCACTGGCTACACGGGATTTCTAGCTGGCAATGCCACTGTCAGCTTGTCAGGATGTCAGGATGTTGGCTCTGAATTCGAAAACAATGGACCCATTGTGCCACCCGATGATGCTGTCTTCGGTTGCGGCCATTTTAGTTGTTGTTGCCCGTAAACAATTGACGCCCTGATGCCAGCTCTTTGCGCATAAGTAATTAAGTGTCTGTGCCTGGGTGTGTGTGTGTGGGCAGTAATTACCATTTATGGACGCTATTGGTTCCCCCCACCCCCCTAAGTATGGCCACAAATGGCGCAGAGCTGGTGGCGCAGTCGTGTGGAAAAATCGGAGCGCCTGAATGTAGGCAACGAAAGTTGAAAGTCAGCCTTGGTGGGTGGCAAGAGGTGTTTATTCTGCATAAACATACATAGTTATTATTCCTTGTTTATGCGTAGCCCCGGCAGATCCATTCTCATCAGAGCTCGCTAATCACCCGCAAGGCTTACTCGCTCCCTCTCTCACCCAAAGCTTTTCTTTCGATAGAGCCGAACCTACGACTGCATCTGTCTCGCAATAACAACTTAGAGGGACTTACACACAGCTTTGTAAGCTCACACAGCAATAAGCAGCCGCAATAAGCTCACATAAGTGGTCGAGGTGTGAGACAGAGACAGCGACAGCGAGCAGAGCTTATCTCGCGAGAACAAGGCACGCACGCATACACATGCACGCAGAAGGCAGCGCGTGTGATCAGCGAAAGACAAGTGCAAAAGGGAAAGTGAAAAGTTAATTCAGAATTGACTGTGTCTTTTGCCTTTGCTTTGTGCCCGCAAAAGTAGCCTTTTTATTTATGGATTACATCTAATGTACGAGTATGTACCTCTGACTTAACCCGAGGCCTGCTTACGTTTGTTTGCTGCCACGGTGGCACGCTTTTTGGCGGCTGCCACAGGTGTCTGCCTCTTGGTGGGCGTGGCAACTGGCTGGCGGCGCTTCGGTGCCACTGTGGTGCGTCTCTTGGGCGCTGCGGTGGTTCGCCTACGACGCTGCTTGTTTTTGCCGGCGGCAGGCTTCGGGGCTTTTTTCGGTGTGGCTGGACTTGGCTTCGTGGGGACCACTGGAGCGGGGGTCACTTCACTTGATCCACTATCCACTTGATCTTCAGAACTGTCTTCCGATTCCTCTCCCGAGCTCACACCCGAGTCGTTGTTGGAACTCGCCTCTGTTGTTGCATCTTCGGTCGAGCCCTCAGCTGTACTCGCACCATCGTCTTCATAATCCTCGTAGCTATAGTCATCGTCATTGTAATCACTATAATCGTACTCAGAACTATCCGTAGTATCTTGAGCGGCGACCACAGTGCCACAGACCAGAATGGCCAGGGTCAGCGCTAGCACAGGCAACAATCTCATTTTGTTCGCGTTCTTCCGGGTATCTTTCAATAGAACTCAATTCGGGAATTCTAAGCAATGGAATGGTACTGAGATCTTGGTTTTTATAGGGTTTTCAAAGCACAGACACACGTTTCTCTGTTGTGTTTTGTATTTGTTTTAGCGATTTAGTTTGCTTTTCTTTCTATTGTTCATATACCTTTTATATATGCTAGGAGAGCTTTTCTATTGTCCGACCACCTGTGTGTGTCTTTCATTTGTTTATATCTTGTCTTTTCATCTGAATCCACTGGATCATTTTTTGGAACTTTTCTAAAGGTAAAGCATGACGTCAGAAAGTGTAGATTTTGGTCCATGCTTTTACCGTTTGAAGCTCTGCATAGATTCAATTCAATGTACTATTCCAGATGGTACTAATCTATCTATAGATCCATTGTAGATCCCACAATACCTGACCCTTAAAAGGGTATCGAGACTAGTTTTGAGGAAACCATTTGGATTTTTCTAGAAACCAACATTCGACTGGAACGCTCTACTTTTTAGAACGTTTCGCACATCTCAAAAATAATAGATTTAGAAATATTTATGTACATATATGGAACCAGAAATTCCAGAAAACTTTATTTCATCATTAGCATTATTATTTTATAGAATATTTAACCAGATCGCCTGCGATTTTTTGCGGCAACGGCGTTGATCCGCTTCTTGGCTGCAACAGGTGTCTGCTTCTTGGCAGCGGCCTGCTTCTTGGCCGCTGCGGCGCGTCGCTTGGCTGCCACGGTGTTGCCCCTGCGCACGTTGTTCTTCTTTTTGTTCTTGGCGGCAGCGTTTTTCTTGGCCTTTTTTGGGCTTGGCTTTGGCGTTGGGGCAGCAGTGGCGGCTTCCGTGTCCGTGTCCGTGTCCGTGTCTTCCGAATCGTCACCGCCAGCATCATCGCCATCTGCGCTGTCCTCTGCGCCGTCGGTGCTGGAGTCATCTACCGCGTCCTGGGAATAATCCTCGTCAGCATAATCGCCAGTGCTATCTTCGTACAGATAATCCGGATCGATCGTTGTTTGAGCCACCGCCACGTGGGCAATTACTACAGCCAAGGTGAGGGCCAGCAGGAACTTCATTTTGCTTTCGTGTCGGGAACTTTGAGAACTCAAAATGAGGTGTTCTTCGCTGGGCTGGCTGGCATTTATAGGCCGAAATGCCCGAAAATTGTATTTTATTTTGCATAGATCGTAGACAAATATTGTGAAACAAAATGAAGAGCAAACAAGCACTCCTTTAGTTTGTCTTTGAAGCCAGCTGTGTGTGGCTTTCTTTTGTTAGACTTGTACTTTGTCGGGCATCTGTACTGCGCGATGGAAGCCACTTTTGGATGAAGAAACTCTTTGCACTCAAGGTGGAAATCATTTGGTATAAATCATGGAAGAACTCCAGGCGGACTCTGTGATTCTGCCTGGAAGAAGGCATCATCTGAAAGGAATAACAAGAAACTACAAATGCCAACGATTCACCATACTATGACTCGCTCTGAGGTTTATCGAACTACATGCGATAAGTATAATGACAATGAATCATGGCAATGCAATGACTCCGCGTTATATGATCGCTGTATGCGGTGATCCTATAAATAGGGCCTCTGTCCTAGGAAGTCAATCAGTTGCTCTTGAGTTTCGTAGCTGAGAATGCAGTCCCAGGCTCTGATAGTCCTGTTCTGCCTCCTGACAATCGTCCGGGGTGCAGCCGTTTGGTCCGAATGGAACGCCTTCAAAGAGCGCCACAACAAGAGCTACCAATCGGCGGATGAGCACCGCCTACGCTTCCTCATTTTCATGGACAACAAGTTGCGGATTGTCGAGCACAACAAGCGCTGGGCGAGGGGTCAGGAGAGCCACCAGTTGGGGATCAATCAGTTCGCGGATCTGTCGTCCAGGGAGTTCAGGGAAAGGCTACTGCACAGCGAACAAGTGTCCCAAGGCTTTGGGGATGTCTACTTGATGCCTTCGGAAGTAGAAATTGAACCTCTACCAGAAACTGTGGATTGGCGGACGCGGAATGCTGTGACCGCGGTCAAGTCCCAGGGGGATTTCCCCACCTGCTGGTCCTTTGCCGCCACGGGGGTCATCGAGGGTCGTCACGCCATCAAATACGGCCATCTGCAGTCGCTTTCCGAGCAGAACCTCATCGACTGTTGCCTGGGATCCGAGGGGGGCTACAACACCTGGAGGGCCATGCAGTGCATCCGGACTCTGGGTGGGATCGACACTGAAGTGTCCTACGCCTACCAGGGACCCGCCGCACCCTGTTCATATCGGCCATCGGCCAGAGCTGCCCGCGTCTTTGGTGCCGTGCCTCTGCCCCAGGGCAACGAGCGGACTATGGCGCAGGCTCTGCTTAGCGGCCCTCTTGCGGTGTCCATCAATGCGGCAACCATTCAGTTCTACAAGAGTGGCGTCTTCCGCGACTCCTCCTGCAGCAGGTCCGTTAACCATGCCGTCCTGGCTGTGGGCTACGGTACCGATCCCAGCTACGGCGACTACTGGCTGATCAAGAACTCATGGGGCACGGGCTGGGGCGAGAGCGGCTATATCCGCATGGCACGCAACAGCGACAACCAATGCGGCGTGGCATCCTCAGTGTTTTACCCCATAGTCTGATCACATTTTATGCGAATAAAGTAATGGTCTAATCTAACGATTTCTAGGATTATCGAAGCATTTATTGTTGTAGATCCAACGGCTCTACGGAGATACATACATATGTATCTAGAGCAAGCTTTTTGAGCAGTCCATCAACAAACATAAAAACCGTATGGACATGACCCGAGTCAGGCAGCAGTGTGCAATGTTTTTGCCTCGGCGGGACCGAGCTCGTCATGCACACGGCATATATTATGTTTTTGCACTGTCGGGCATTCTCTATCACACTCTTCGCAAGGCCGACGCCTAGCGCTACAACTAAAACATGCATTTATTTTATATGTTAGACTTTAGACACTATTCATTCAGGACTTGCAATATTATAGAATATTCTGTTCAACTTTAATCTAGGTAATATTTTTTATTAATTAATCTAATGAATACAGTGATATATGTACATATGTATTTATTAATGTACGTACATATATTTTGTATAAGTTTTTTATATTTATATTTTTTTGTATTTAAGTTTTTTCTTATATTTTTATTATATTATATTATTATTATATTATTATCTTATTTATTTTATTATATTTTATTTTGAGAGAATAAATACATTTTTGATGCTTATTTTTATTTTTTATTTTTTTTTATTTTTTAGAGATGGAGATCTGTAAGAAGGCGATGTCCTTGCTGTTTTTGTTAATGCCTCAAGCTGGCTCTAAACGACTGTAGAGTGAGGAACCCCTATGCTGTCACTGGGTTTCCCCCTTTCGATGTTTTTCTTTGCGACTTTCGCTTTCATTTATGCGAAGATTTCTAAAATGATGGATATTATGATTATTTGCGTGCACGCAATTCCCAGCTTATGTACGATTATATTCCAAAACATGCAACACATTCAAATTTATATGTTTGACCTTTTTTTTGCCCGTTCAATTGCAGGCGGGGAAAAACGAGTGGCAGCGACAGCAGTGGCAGTGGCAGAAGACCAACCTAGATATAAAGTTCGTGCCGTAAATCTTCAACTTGCATGGAATTAATACCCCACCGCCGGGAGGGTGGACAGGGAGGCGCAACAGGAGCGGGTCTAGGCGGGGGGCGTTGCGCATGCAACACACATTAGTGGGTCACTCGAAGATGATGACGCTGATGACCGCAACCGCAGAAGCAACAGAAACAACAGCAACAACCGAAACAGCAGCTAAACAAGCAACCGCCTTGCAGGGGAAAATTATATAAAATTATCATGCAGGACGGGCCACAGCGAGCAGCAAGTCGGCCACTTGACGGCGGCAGACGGCAGGAAAAGGCTAAGGCTACGCTGCAGCGGCGGGTCGCATGACGTACACGACGTAACGTGCACACCCTAACGGGGCTGCTGGCCAATTTGTCCACAAGAAGGACACGAGCGGGGCACCACCCAACCGAACTGAGCCACTAACCAGGCGGAAAGTGCAACTGCAACTGCAACGGAAACCGAAACTGAAACTGAAACCGAAACAAAAACGAGATCCAAAGTGTACCCAAAAAACTGAAACTTTTCGGCCCGAATGGCACAACTTTTCGAACAATTGCCACGGCGTTGGGGCGAGCGGCGTTGAAAAGCGACGGAAAAAATGTCAAAATGGCGAAGTTAACGTTGCCGCGTCTTTTGCAGCGACTGCAGCTGTTGGCGTTGCAACTGGCCACGCCCAGCAGGCAGCCGCCACATCATCAGCAGCAGCAGCAGCAGCAGCAGCACCCACACGCACACCCACACGGCTGCCATCTGATGGCCATGCAGCTCTGCCAGGCCATGCTCCTATACGGCTGCCTCCTGCTCCTCCATGCGTCTGCCTCAGTGTCTGCCTCGGCCTCGCACACGGCGCTGGCACTGAATCTCTCATCAGCCATAGACCTAAACCAACTCAAACACCATCCAGAGCAGCCCGATCATCCGCAACAACCGCTACAACCACAACGCGCACAGAAACGTGACGCTGCCAATGTGCCTGACGATGACTATGATGGCAGCTACCCGGATGATATCGACGACATTGAGGCCTTGCTAAATAATAAGTCAGGTGAGTGTGGACCTCCTCTAGGCCTTTAATTCCAAATTAAGGTCAACACTGTGGGGTGGGCAGCGGAATGGGAGCCATGGGAGGGATGGAGGGTGTGTTGGGGCGTGTTACGAAATACGCCACAGAAATCTGGCCTACAGCCTTGTTTTCCCTGGGCTACAGCCTCTGTACAAAGGTCCCATAAGCGACCGGACACAGAACCAAGCGATTCGCGAAATTTTCTTCTGGGGGCACAGCGGAAAATCAGATGTTCCTCTTAACGGAAAATGCATGAAGCATTAAAGATTAAATATTATAGCATAGGAATATAAATTCGACTGTCTTTTAAAACATAGAAATACTCGTATATACAAATTTTTCTTGGAAAAGTCCACCGAGAACTCATTTCTATATACTTTTCTCCCGATATTTTTTTCTAAATTTTGCCAATTGGCATTTAGTTGTATTAACTCTGATCTGTAGACCTCTTAAAATAAGCAAAAGTTCACTTTATCGGTATTTTTTGGTACTTCCTTTAGCATTTTCCCTTATAAGAAAGATGATTCTTGATGAAAGTTTTTCCTCAAAGTCTCCCTAATATATTAAACTATTCAATGTATTAAATATCTTTTCTTAACACAACACAGAGGTTTAATTTAAATTTTTAAAAAATCTAAAAACCATATTTGCGTGAAATTATAACCATTTTTAAGATAAATCAATTCACAAAAATTATGAGAAACTTTCAACTTTCGCTGAAATCTGAGTTTGAAATCGAAAACCACTTACATTTTTGTTCCGCGCAACTGCCTTGGTTTTTTTTGCAAAAATCTCGAAAAAGAATAGCTGCCCAAAATCGACCTCAGCACTAATTGTAGGGCCAATCAAAGGCTACTATGAAATGGGAAAATAATTTTGAAATGCGTACGATTTCTGGGAAATGCCCATATGCAAAAAACATCTACATATATTTAAATTAAATATGAAACATAAATGTATTGGAGAGTCTTTAAGTCCCATCTAAATATAAAGTAACTCAAAATAAATATATTTTGTGTGTAAATGGTTATGAAATATATTTAATCTAAATAAGAATATTTTTTCTAATTTCAAATGTGAAATATATTTATTTTTAATCTGTGAAATAAAGTATTTGCATCAAATATTTGCATATTAATGTGTATTGGTGCACATTTCAGTACAATTTCAGTGCTTTTATCTCGAGATGTGACAATAATTCGTTTGTCCGTCCCTTGGGGTTCGAAATGAATTTGTCGTATAGACCACAGAATTCCCCTGGGCTTGTGGCTCTCTAGAAAATATTTTGTATTCATTTTCTGTCTTTCTAATGCGTTTGTTTCTAATGCTTTTAGCTGAAAATTCGTTGCGTTGCGTTTCAGTTCGGTTCGGTTTGCCATCGCATTTTCTCGCCAAGTTCCAGCTTGGGAATCCCCCCAGAGATCATGAAAGCCATAAATTGCACAACGTACATACAGTCTGCCTGGGTCCATGCTGGTCCAAGGTTCCTGCTGCCGTTGTGGTTGCATTTGTTGTTTAACTTTTAGATTTTGGCATGCAGTTGCCGTACCACCTGGGGACTGCAGCTGCCGCAGCGATGGGGTTGATGATTCATGGGTATTCATGGGTTCGTTTCATCCATGATGAAGCAGAACCACAACAGTACAGCAGCAGCACTCTCAGAAACGTATATAGGAGCTGTGGTAACCATTTGATAAAGAATAGCCAGGAATAATATGACATTTAAGGGGAAACGGGCACGTCCTACAAATCTGCATAGCTGCAGGACTGCAGGACTCCTTGACTGAATGGGAGGCCTGCACATTGATGTGGATTAAATTGCATAATGTTTATTATTGATGCAAATGGGTTTTTGTTTTCCGCATTGCAGCAAAGGGGAAGTACATTGGGGCGCCGTGCAACGAGCTGAAGTGCGACGTGAAGCTGCTGCATGTGGCCTGCGACAAGGAGACGCAGACCTGCACATGCGAGCGGAACTATCCCGTGCAGCTGGGACTGATAAAGGGTTGCGCCAAACGTGAGATTACTCGTGACTAATTCACCATCATTTTGTTGTATAGCATTAACCGATCCTCTCTTTGACAGCTAAAAAACTGGGCGATCAGTGTTTCTACGACGAGACGTGCATCTACAACGATGAGAACTCCCTCTGTGTTCAGGTGCGCCACAATGCAATGTGTCAGTGTGCCAGTGGCTTTCATTCGGTCAGCTACACGAAGCCGACACGGCGTGTCTTTTGCACGCCAGGTAAGTGGATGGGATCCCCCTGCGGACTCCACTGCACATACTGACCGCTCTCCCATTGACAGATCTCAGCGAGCTGAGCTCTGATCTGCCCACGCTGCTGGGCGTCTCCACGGGCATTGCCGTGCTGGCCGGGCTCATCTGTATGGTGCTGCATCTGTTCAGCAAGACCAAGTATCCGAGGCACCGCAACTACGGGGACGCCAGCATTCCGCCGCCCATTCTTTACTCCAGCGATACAGGTTTGAGATCTTTGCCGCGAAGGCAAATCGAGATCCGATTCGATTGATTGATTGACTCTCTCTTGCCTGCAGGGATACCGCTGACAGTGCACTCGGCGCGCCCTTCGTCGCGGTCTAGCATACGTTCGACGGGATCGATTGGCTCCTTTGGGCAGCGACGGGCTTCGGTGGGAGGACAGGCTAGCGGAGCAGCAGGTGGAGCTGGTGGTGGAGGAGGTGGTGCTGGAGGTGGAGGCGGCGGCGGGTCGAAGGGCATACTGGTGTCGACGTCTCGTACAGGTGCGGCTAGATCGGCCGCCATATTGCTCATATCGTGTCACATAGCGGCCGTGTCGAAACAAAATTCTCGCGCCTCATCGCGTCACACATCCGGAGCCGGTTGCAGCCAGCATTCGCGCGACGATCTCGACGAGAACAGTGGCGGCGGTGGCGGTGGCAGCGCGAGCGGTTGTCGCAGCTGCGAGAGCTCGCTCTCGATGACCCGCCAACTGCAGAAGCAACTGAACCATCAGCGGCATCTGCTCAGCTTCGAGCTGTCGCCGGCCAGGTCAAAGAATCAGGATAGATTTAGGACCCTCTTGGGCATGAACGGAATTGATAATAATTATAGAACCCATGACGATGATGACGACGACTACGGTCCCCATAGCATAGATCCCGGCACTGTTCCGGCCGTGCATACACAGGCCCATGGCCATGATGTCGATGGCGATGTCGGTGGCGGTGGCGTTGGTGGCGGTGGCGGTGGTGCCAGTGGTCCCAGTGGTGCTGCTGCTGGTTATAGTTATGGTTATGGTTATGGTTATAGCGATGCCGATACCAACGGCGATACCAACGGCACTGACGGCGCCGAGCTGCATCACTTGCAAATTGGCGCACTCCCCACGCCGGCGAGTGAAACGCCCCGATTTGCGGTAAATCAACTCAATCATCAGTCGTTCAGTCGTTCAGTCCTTCAATCGCTCCAGTCGCTCATCATGATCAGTCATCGTTGCAGCAGATCAGCATATCAGCATATCAGCATCCATATCATCTTCATCTCCATATCCACATCCGTATCCGTATCTGTATCCACAAAACAGCTCCACATCACAATGGAAACTAAATCGAAATTATCTGTTCTCTGTTCTGTTGCTGCATCCAGCACTCTCTCAGTTGGAGATACTCGTACTCCCAAGTGTGTTCTTACCCTTGATGGAATTTATCTTTTAACTAAATTCTGTTTGCTACTGGTAGAGCTCCAACAACATGCATACAATAGAAAGTGTACACTGTTCAGACACTTGTATAGATCCATATTCATCTCATTTCATTCCAAAGCAAGGTCTCTAAAGGCACATCTCTTGTACCCATTGATGTTTATAAATTCTCTGCGTTTATATAAATTTCACACATGTACTAATCATGCTGTTGGTTTTCCCATGATGTTTGTAATTCGATTATCAAATTAATTCATTCATTTGTATAACTTTCGCACACACATACACACGTCCAGAAGTGGGTCAGGGCTCTCTCGATTACCATTTCAAATCAGGGTTAATTAATTTTACTTGTGTCCAAAAGTCATTCCATTTCATTTGATTTCATTTCACCCCCATATTAGCCCTATCCCTGATCTATCTATCCTCCCCGATTCAGCGCATTGCTTGCATAATTAGTGTTTAAATCGGTTAAAATTCTATCTCCCGAACTAGTTGAAAAGTGAAACAAAAATTTTTATGTTCTCTTGATGATCGATGTTAAATGTGCTTCCGAGCTCCCTTCTGTTTCCAAATACAAAGTTGTTTCTATTGTTATAATTTCTATACTATAACCAGACACACACACACACACACACACATACATATACACTTACACGCACACTGATAATGATAAGGGTTCAAGAATAAATTCAACAGCAACGACAGATAATTGCAGTCAAAAGTCGCAGAAATGAAATGATATCGTTGTCTTATAAGAATATATCATGGTTCCATTTGAGAGGATCCACAGATCCACAGATCCACAAAGCGATGATCTGATGATATCAAAGATACAAAGATACACCCTCTGACAAGATGATATTGAAGCAATATGGCGGTGACTATGTTCAAAGCAAATCCTACCCCCCCGAAACTTCCACATAGCATAACCGAAACACACACACAATTTTGCCATTAACTATAAATAAAATGCATTGCAAATTAAGAAAATTATGACACACAAAACCACACACACACACACACACACGAGCACACTTTATGCATGCATTGAAGAGTCCTCCTGGTCCTGCCAGCAGCGGAGGACAGACACTTGGTGGCTGCGGCTGCGGCTGCAGCTGAGGCAGAGGCAGAGGCAGCTGCTGCTGGCAGGACCCGGAGAACCTTCAACTTACGGCTGACCTTTCTCCCTAACTATTTGATTGAGTTCACGTTCACACACACACACCCACACACACCACAAGCTCCATGACACACCCAATCCAATCGATACTTCCACACGATATGGCCTGGCCACTCCTACCTTCTACCTTCTGCCTTCTACTTATACCTTATACTATGTATGTGTATGTATGTATGCTCTTCTTCCCGCAACTTTCTGTGTGCTCGAATGTTCTTCTAGTTTTTCCTACTTCTTGTGCGCCTTGAATTGAAAATTGCGATTGCGGCTTAGTGCTTTTGAAACCAGCAAAAACTTTGCCTGTGTGGAATCTATCGCTATCTCTATCTCTCTCTCTATCTCTGTCTGTTCCCTGTCCTGATCTACGAGAATATAAACGAGTACGAGGCTACTTCAAAGGTAAAGGCTGGGCTAAAGCTGACATCTCTGAATGACTTGATGACAAAATCTTTGGCGGAAGCAACCTTTCAATGCAGCTTTCAACCTCCTCGCACTCGTTTAGTCTGCTTCTGCTTTTCAATCGCTTCGGAATGAACTGTCGCTCTAGCCACTTACTCTATCTTCTCGCTATCTTTCGTATGTCTCTGTCTAAACTAACTACTGTGTATCCTTACTTACTCTCTTAAGCCGATGCTTCGATATTCAATCAATTTAAATACTTGCAATACTTTAAATATACTACTACTACTACTACTACTACTCCATCCGAATGCATTTTGCGAGGCATTTGGTTAATCGACCTCTCCGGTTCCATTGCTTCCTTTTAGGTTCTCGAAGACCAAGTCTAGCATCGGTGCACAGCACTAGTTCCTCGGTGCGAAGCTACAGCATGATGCGTTTCGAAAAGGAGGCTCAACAGAAGGAGATCCGGCAGGAGATGAAGCTGCGTCTGGCCCGGCTGCAGCAGCAGCAGCACCTCACCCAGAACAAGCCGCAGATTGTCATCGGGGAGGCGCTGCTGCAGCACGGGGCCTTAGGTCGGGTAACCATCCCCACGCCCAGCCCGCTGACGCCCAACTCACTGGACGAGCTGCTGCCGTCACTGGATGAGAATCAGGAGGTGAGTTTTGAAGTTTTGAATACTCTCTTCAAATCGAAATCGATTTGAAAACCTATCTCTTTCTCTCTTTTCTATACAGTATCCACCCAGGCTGGAGGGAACATTCAAGCAGCTGGTGCAGCCAGAAACTACAGCAGGTGGCGGCGGAGGAGCTGGAGCCCTGCGAGCAGCTGCCGCCCAATCGTCTCCGGCCAGTGCAAACGGCTACCATGGTCCCTGCAGCTCATCGACTGAGGCCCTCTAAAGCTACCCCCGGGGCCCCGGGGCATAAATACATAAGTATTAAAGTATTCAAGTAGATCGTAAGCCAAACCCAAAGTTCTCATCTGATTTGCTGTGCTAGGGCGCCGAGTAGCAAATTAAATTGACCGTCAAACGTGTTGTAGACAGCTTAGATTATGTGTAACATAGTAAGCCCCTACCCTATGCCGCCTAAGCAGCCCCCCCTAGCCTAGGCTAAGTTCTGTTACCGTCTAAGCGAGTTCTCAAATTAGTATTGTATCATATACGTAGCGAGAGAGTTAATCGAAACATTTTATACGTGTGTGTGTATTGTCATACAGTTTTGTAGAAGTTATATATTTACAAATTAATTCGATGGCGTGGCGCATGGGGTCAAGGATCGTTCAGAAAACAACTTCTTCAGTGATACTTCAGAGTACTCGTTCTGACACATTCCTGAGAATTCGAATACTTTCTCCCTGATCCCCGATTCGTTCCGATTGGATGGATCATAATGAATTGATTAGTTTAAAGTTAGTCTAGTCTAGTCTAGTCTAGTCTAGTGTTTATCGTTAGGGTGAGATAGTACTGATAAAATATACGCGAAATGAATTTATAAAATTTATGTTTATGAACACAAATTTGTTCACTCGTACCGTACTCCCGATGAATATGAATATGAATATGAGAAATCCTTATGAATACAGAGGCAGGCGCACAGTTGAGAGCCTGGTCGAGATCTAGCTAAATCAATAATTATGTTAAGCGATAAATCAAAAATGTTGATCTGACAAAGCTCTTGAGTTCTTTGCAGTAGATCCAACGTAGAGAATGATGAATCGAATCTTCGCGGCAAGTCAATTTTAGTTTACGGTTAACGAATTTTTCTACAAAAGGCGTTTCAAATGAATACAATAATCGAATAGATCAAATGTACATTACTTATCCCAGCACTCGCGTGCGAAACCCTAGAACCCAATTCGTTCGATCGGTCGGTCGATCGATCGATCGATTGTAATAATTAACTTATAACTAACGAGTATTTGATACCAAGGTTGTTGACTGTAGTTTGGTTCCATGATTTGTTGTGTCCTACTATCTATATAGATCTCTGTTCCGTTCCCAAGATACGTACGTACGAATACAACAAGCTATAGAAGACGTTTAAAATACACTATATACACATGCCTACATTTACATACATACTATCCGTATATATGTATGTACTAGCATACATACATATGTACTTACCTATGCTATATTGTACTTACGAATGGTAGAACACATATCTAAGGTTCAGTGTTGGTTGCATACGGGAGTAAATAGAAATAAATGCAATTTTGTGTTTTCAAACGTCCTGTCTATACTCTCTATAGAGGTTTTTGGACCCCCCTTCAAGCTCTCTATGATATCTGCTCTGTAGTGTTCGGTTCTTTATTCGCACAGAAGGAAGAAAAAACGGATGGATGCTAAGAATATGAACATTCTAAGGGAGTTCCAATTTGGAGAGTCTTTTGGGTAAACAGTCAATTTGCATTGCTTCAAAATATCAAAATATCAATACGCCCCTAATCAACTTCTTCGATAGTGGGACCACCGCTGCCGCCGCCACCTGTTGCAGGACCACCGCCAGAACCAGAGCCGCCACCACTTGGGGGTGGTTGCTGCATGCCGGCACTCTGATAGAGTCGCGTGATGATGGGACTACAGACGCGCTCTAGCTCCTGTTGGCGGTGCTCGTACTCCGGCCTCTCGGCCAACTGATTGGCATCCAGCCAGGCGATTGTCTCGCTGCACTTCTGGAGAATCGTGTCGCGGTCCGAGTCGCTAATGCGGCTGCGCAGCTGCTCGTCTTCGAGGGTGGAGCGCAGCTGGAAGCAGTAGCCCTCCAGCTGGTTCTTGGCATTGATGCGGTCGCGCTGCTGTTCGTCCTCCTGGCGATACGCATCCGCCTCGTTGACCATGCGCTCGATGTCCTCCTTGGAGAGACGGCCCTTGTCGTTGGTGATGGTGATGCGGTTCTCCTTGCCCGTCGACTTCTCCAGGGCATTCACATTGAGGATGCCATTCGCATCGATGTCGAAGGTGACCTCCACCTGGGGCACACCGCGCGGCGCCGGCGGTATGGCCGACAGCTCAAATTTGCCGAGACTGTTGTTGTCGCGGGTCATGGCGCGCTCGCCCTCGTACACCTGGATGAGCACGCCCGGCTGGTTGTCCGCGTAGGTGGTGAAGATCTGGGTCTGCTTGGTGGGGATGGTGGTGTTCCGCTTGATCAGCGTTGTCATCACACCGCCGGCCGTCTCGATGCCCAGCGACAGGGGCGTCACGTCCAGCAGGAGCAAGTCCTGCACCGCCTCCGACTTGTCGCCATGGAGGATGGCCGCCTGGACGGCAGCGCCATAGGCCACTGCCTCATCGGGATTGATGGACTTGTTCAGCTCCTTGCCGTTGAAGAAGTCCTGCAGGAGGCGCTGCACCTTGGGTATCCTGGTGGAGCCCCCCACCAGCACAATGTCATGGATCTGGGCCTTGTCCATCTTGCCATCGCGCAGAGCCTTGGCCACCGGCTCCATGGTGCCACGGAACAGGTCCCCGTTCAGCTCCTCGAAGCGGGCCCGCGTCACCGAAGTGTAGAAGTCGATGCCCTCAAACAGGGAGTCGATCTCGATGCTGGCCTGTGTGGACGAGGACAGGGTTCGCTTGGCCCGCTCGCAGGCGGTGCGCAGGCGGCGCAGCGCCCGCTTGTTCTGGCCGAGATCGCGCTTGTGCTTGCGCTGGAACTCCTGCACGAAGTGGTTGACCAGGCGGTTGTCGAAGTCCTCGCCACCGAGATGGGTGTCGCCGGCGGTGGCCTTCACCTCGAAGATTCCGTCCTCGATGGTCAGCACGGACACGTCAAAGGTGCCGCCGCCCAGATCGAAGATGAGGACATTGCGCTCGCTAGTGCCCTGCTTGTCCAGGCCGTAGGCAATGGCCGCAGCCGTCGGCTCGTTGATGATCCGCAGTACATTGAGCCCGGCAATGGCGCCCGCATCCTTGGTGGCCTGTCGCTGCGAGTCGTTGAAGTAGGCTGGCACCGTGACCACGGCATCCGTGACAGTGCCACCCAGATACGCCTCGGCCGTCTCGCGCATCTTGGTGAGCACCATCGAGGAGACCTCCTCCGGGAAGAAGCTCTTCTTCTCGCCCTTGTACTCCACCTGGATGCGCGGCTTGCCGCTGTCGGAGACCACCTCGAAGGGCCAGTGCTTCATGTCGCTCTGGACGGTGGCGTCGTCGAATCGGCGTCCGATCAGGCGCTTAGCATCTGCAAGTCAGAGCACAGTAATCACCAATGAAACACCCTTAGCTCAGCGCACTTGGACAACAGATTCACTTTATTATCTAACACATATGTATACGGGCATAGGGGGAGGGCAGGACATGGTTCTGGTTCTGGTCTGGTATATGTGTGTTCTTTGGGCAGTTCTGGACTACTATTCTATGCGGTCCCTGAGACTGAAATGAAAGTACAAGAAAAGAGAAGAAGACTTGCATTAGACCAGCTCCGCAAACCTCTCAAAGTGGAGCAGTGATTGGGGAAATGAAGAGATAGATAGAAGAATCTGAAGATCGAGAGGGTTCTAAATGGAGTTTTAAAAAAGGTATTATTTGGGTAGAAAATAGATAATGAAAGATGGTTTTGCGGAGACCATAGACCCCAGAAACATACAAAGTAAATATAAAGCTCTCAAGATGCCAAGTCTTTTCTGATCCAAGTAAAATGTATTCCACCAGTCCGAAATCTCTCAAATCTCTCCCTACACATTCCAATGCTTCCCCCACAAGTATTTATGTTTTGGCCGCTTCTCGGACAATCCGCAAGATACTCGTGCACGAATCGCACTGGGACGTTTTTGTTTTGCATTTATTTCGCTGACACAAATTATGCCAATAAACATGACAGCAACTTTTGGCTGGCACACGAGCGAAGGTGGCACCCATTTGGGGCCAGCCAGCAGCCAAACAATCCGAGAGAGAACTGACACAACAAGTGGATGTGTCACAGAAACCAAAGGAGAGGCACCACAGGAGGTATGGCATGAGACGGTGCACAAATTCTCACGAGCTTGGGGAGAAATCCGGCCGAGATGTTGGTCTGCATTTTGGCGCCAGCAAGTGAGAATTTCTTTAAATAAATCGAGAATCGAAATAATAAACAATATGCATATATGCGCGTAATTCATTCATGAAAATTCTGCCAGTAACTAAACCAGATCGCACATATTCAGTATAGATCAAGAACCTCAAAAACAGACGCTGGTTCAACAGATATGTATATGCTACATATACGAGTAAAAGCAAGGGCACGTAAGAGGGACACAAGAGGGACACAAGGGGGACACAAGAGGGGCACAAGAGGGCCAAGAGATTCGGCACAAAACTCACCGAAGATTGTGTTGTTGGGATTCATGGCCACCTGGTTCTTGGCGGCATCTCCGATCAGACGCTCCGACTCCGTGAACGCCACATAGCTGGGAGTGGTGCGATTGCCCTGGTCGTTGGCAATGATCTCCACTTTGCCATGCTGAAAAACGCCGACACACGAGTATGTGGTACCAAGATCAATGCCAATTGCTGGTAATTTGGGCATCTTTGCTGCGGCTTTAATTAGACCACGTCAAGGTCCAATCCGATCGCAGGCAGCCAGACAGATCAACGAGAGAGAGAACGAAATAAAACGTATTGAAAATGAAATTAAAGTCACAGAGAGAACTCTATGTGTGATTACACAATCAACGAGAGGGTGTAAATCGTCGTAGTAGTCTCACCCAAATTCCCCTAGGCAGTCTCCTTGGGCGGTCCTAGAATGCAAATCGATACAGGTACAGGGATATGATGAGGAACAGCAGCACAAACGTCAAAACTCGCAGGAATTCGAGCGTTTTCTCCCTTTGCAGCTCCACAGCTCTACTGTTTATTCTCCCTTGGCCACAATGAAAACGGATCCAACTCTCTGGTCTGTTCTGGTCTGTCGCTCTCTCTGGGTGTTGCTCGATCTGAATTCTCGATCTCAAAAGATGCACGCGCCACGACTGCCACAAGAAAACTGGCAGTCCGAATGTTGCGACGCCTTTCCCTTGCCAAAATTCTTCAATGATATGATGCTGTGTTTTAAAGCAGCATAACCAGAGGTGCATAGACACTTTTGCGTGCAGTCAGTCGGTGGGCAATGCAGACGTGAATGCAAAAAGGAAATACATGTCGTGTGAATGACGCTGCTCAATTCGAGGTTTGTTGTGTGGTGTTGTTGGAGCTGCCAAATTCAAAAAGATTCCTTTTTTCTTCCTAATGGAAGATTATTTCGATCCAAATAAATCATCTGTTCTTTTCCGCTATAAGGTGGCTACCATTCAAAGTCATGGTTTAACAAATACAATCTGGTTTCCAGCAGGGTTAGACGCAATGCCATCTGAAATTGTTAAATATTTCTTCCATTAATTGGCCTTGTCAACCAGCTGTTCCATCCATAGCTTGCAGCCCATGAAATATACCATGCATGTATGTACATATATATATTTGTTGACAAAACATAAAAAAACACCCAAGCTGGTGTGGTATAAATACCCGTGGCATCAAAGATCGAAGACATAACCCACCGAGACAACAGCAATAATGAAATACTTTGTGATCTGTGCTTTGGCTGCTCTCGTCCTTATCCAGGCCGCGTCGGGATTCAAAATCAGGCGCGTTGTCTATGTGGTTCCAGTGGCGTCAAGTACCACAACAATTGCACCCGTCGCAGGATCTAGTACGACAGTTTCGAGCGTAACAACAACGGCTCCACCCAAGGTGATATACTGCTCCTGGAAGAACAATTGGTGTCGCCCGGCCTCGAACACGATGACGAACTGCAAGTGGGGCATCTGCAAATACACTGGCTAAAAATGCTAGACATAATTATCAAGTAGCCCAACAATAAAATAAACAATCTTCAAACATATTGTAGCACAATTTTTGTGGTTTTTATTTGAAAGTCTGGCTTGGTCAAAAAAGACTTGCTGGAACGGTTGGTTTTATTCTTAATCAAATACTATGGCCAATCCCAGACGGATCACGAGCCAAACTGACCCAAACTGGCCTTTGCGTTGTGGGGTTCATACGAAAGCGTTGCCAAAAATAAGTAATAGCCCAGAGTAGGTCTTAGAGGCTAACTAAATTCGATCCAGGAAAACATCATCACCTAATCCGGCTAAAGCTAAATGGGTTAGCGCTAGGATACAGAGTACTTGGGGGGAGTAATAATGTTGGTTGTTTGGGCTAGTAATGTTAATACGATGAGTGGGGGAGATGAGATAAGATGACTACCATGAACATGGTGTGAACCAATACAACACTTTTGGTTAAACTAAGGCTACATTAGGGTTAGGCCATGACTAAACTTAACTTAGGATATGCATATGTGGGATGGACAAAAGCTTTAGTCGATAGATCGCCCAGGGTTTATACTTTTTGCATTGCTAGCTAGCAATTGATTTTATTATGCCATTTCACGTGGATAGCTACAAAAATGATTCAAACTCTATTCACTCAAAATGAATATGCTTCGATGGTTTACAAAAAACAAAAAAAAAACATTTTATGATGGCTTTTCATTGAGAGTAGGGGGACAATGTAGTTTGAAATTTATCAAAATAGAAACAGTCGATAATTGATAAGTCCTCTCGTACAAATATCTGAGTAGACAATCCATATTGATGTCGTTTAGTGTTCTTTATATTGTTTATACTTGCAAATATATATATATATATATATATATGTGATAATGTTATACAATAATATAAGTTCGATTTATAACACGTTTCGTCAATACTCTTTTCTTAGAGTTACGTTTCTTTTCTTTTCTTTTCCTCGTTTCGTTTTGTTTTCTTTCCTTTTGTTAATGTTGTGGTCCAGTGCGGCCACTGAGCAGAGTTTATTGTATATTTGTATTAATTATAGTAATCTTTATTCGATTCGCTTCTTCTCTAACTTTTGCAGCAGCACTCAAAACGCTTCACAGCAAATAACGTTTATAGAATTTTTGCATTGATTTTACAAAAATATACAGCTATTTATCTCATCTCTCGTTTACAATCTTCTCTCTCTCGTTCATCATCTCGTTTCGTCTCTTTTTATTTTGTTTGTTTTTTTTTTGTTTCTTTCTAATAATTCGTAAGGCAAAGTTCGGGTGTGTCTGTGTGTGTGTGTGTGTATTTTTTCTATACTAATTAGGGTATATGTTTATGTTTATGTTTACGTGTTTGTCTGTTTAATCTTTTATAAGTCGCCATGTTCTGCTTCTGCTTCTGCTCTGCTTTTCAACTAAATGCATTCATTTTCGTTATATTAATTCATAAACATAAATGGTAGTGTTTCGAAATCTCTAGGCAAGTGGATTATTGGGAAATGTGTTGTGGGATCGATGGATAATACATAAACATAAAGAGAGCGGAACAAAAAATACACAAACAAAAAATGGTTAGTTTACGGATACGGGCATGAAAACCATCGCGAGGTGCGTGTCGTGGTAGGTGGCAATCCTAACGCCTAACAATGCTAGAGGGTCGTGGCAGGCCACTGCGTTTCATTTGCGAGGGCGGCCGCAGACCCGATGGCTTCGGTATGCCCGTGCCGCCCGTTGTCACTTGCGTCAGCTTCGAGGAGAGCACCTGGGTATCGAACATGTGTGAGGAATTCGGCTGAGGAACATTTCCGCCATTGGAAGCAGCAGCACTCTTGCTGTTGTCCTTATAGCCATAGAGACTGCCGCGCGACGATGCCGACGAAAGGCTCTGTAAAAGACCCAAATGAATTTCATTTGGGAATTATCAAAACATATACGTAGATAGAAGAAGGACATGGACTAACCTCTGGAGTTTCTGCCTCTGGAGCAGTCTTAACGCTCAGGCTGTAATATCCCGACGAGGGACGGGCCAGCCCATTGCCCACAGTTCGTTTTGCACCTGCCAGCGGCGGGCCACGCAATCCGCTCACCAACTTGGGCACCTTGAACACGGCCGCTTCATCCTGCAAGAGAGCATGCCACACAACAAACAAAAAACAATTGAAATATCTGTCATACTGATTATTGCCACATACTGTGCACCCACCTCCTGTGCTTGCACGGGTCCACGGAGTCCGCCCATTAGCTTGCTGGGCTGTTGACCCGGTCGACGTAATCCGCCACCCAAACTAGGTCTGGGAGCACCAATGCCGCTCATGGTGGAGGATAGATTGTGGAACGACTTGGATTTAGTGCCCATGGGACTCTTCAGCTCGCCACTCGATGTGGCTGTCGCTGTGACCGTAGTCGGGGCAGCAGCGGCTGGAGTGGCATTCAGTCCGGCCCCGGCGGATGTGGCCTTGCTAACCATCGAGAATTTCTGCAGGCCACTGATGTAGCGTGGTCGAGAGAGGGAACGCGGCTGGGGTAGAGTGGAGGCGGTGGAGGATTTCTCTGCTATCTGTGCCTCCTGAGGCACCTGGCGACGATTGAGCAGAGATTTCTCTTTGGGCTTCTTATAGGTCAAATAGTTGCTCGAACTACTTTCCGCTTTGTTGCTGTTGTTGTAGTAAACGGAGGGGTTCTGATCTCGGCGAGACAGACGGCCTGGCTCAGAACCCTGTCTCTGCGTTGGCAGATCTTCCCCTTCCGTCTGTTCCTCCGCCAGCTGCTGCTGTGGATCATCGTCTATACAAGGCACTATTATCTCCTGTTGCGAATCATCCCGCATCCGCATTTCCTTCGTTATCTTGATGGTCTTGAAACGGTCGCGGTCTCGTTCACGGCGCTCGGCCAGTTTATAGCTGGTCTGCTGCTGCTGCTCCTCCTCCTCCGGCTTGGGCACTGTGTCGGGCGCTGCCTGCTCCTCCTGAGGCATCTCCCTGCGCTGCACTATAAACGAAGCGGAGTTGCAGCTGGCAGAGCTCCCGTTGCTGCCATGCATGCCACTGAGATTGACATCGTCATACAGGCGACTGCGACGGCTCAGGAGACGCTCGCCTGCACTGCTGCTGCTGTTGCTCGAGTGGCTCTGATTGAGGGTGGGGGTGGTCTCTGCTTTCTCCACCGGCTGCTGGTGCTGTTGTTCGGGCTGCTCGCCTGCTTCTGCCTCCGGCTCATCCCTGTGAAAACGTCGCTTGATGGTCTCCAGCGATTTCTGCATCTTCAGCTGAGTTTCGTTTAGGGCATTCACCTTTCCCAGCTCGGCCAGCATGTGCTCGAACTGCTCTTCATCGCCCTGCTGGGCCAGCATTTCCACCTCTGCCTCGGCCAGATCCATCACGCACTGCATCTGCCTGTGCTGTTCGGACATTTGCAAGCTGTATGTTCCATCCAGTGGCTGTTCGATCTGCTCCAATATCTCCATTGTGTCCAACACAAACTTTTCCCCATCGAATGGCACCGCTGCCTTGGCCACCGTCTCAAAGGTGTTGTTCAGCCGCCCACCGGCTCCGGCGCCCTTCTGGGGCGTGTGGCCTACAATGGGTGACAAGTTCATGTCTACATCAACCATCCCGCCTCGCCCCTTCAGAGTGGGCGTGTATCCCTGCTTGTTGTTGTTATTGTTATTGTTATTGTGGTAGTAGTGGGAGCGGATGCTTGTGGTCAGTGGCGTGGATGATTCCATTGTCAGAGAGGCCAGCTTCCTGTCGATATTTTCGGGCGTCTCGCACCGGCCCTCTGGAGTATTGCACCCATCCGTAAAGGTTGTGTTCATCTGGCGACCAGCCAAAATCTGCGTCTCATCCGACGAAGCGGTGACTGAAGTAGAAGCTGGTGTCGCCGCCACCCGCTTGAAGGTGGTATTGCCATCGACCGACAGGGATTCAGACTCGGATTGCAGCATGGGCGTGCAAGTGGTAAGACTATCCACCAGATTGAACGTTGTATCGCCGATCATTTCCTCGCCCAGGACCACGGACAGGGCAGGAGCATAGACAGCAGGGACGGCAGGCATCAGGATAGTGCGATCTGTGGCCAAGGGGTTGGACATGCTCTCCGTGCTGTTGTCCATTGTACTGCAGCCGGAAGCGGTCTTGCTCAGTGTCAACGAGATCTCGTCGGTCTGTCCAATGTGCGAGTCCTTGATCAGAGTGCCATCCTCTTCACACATTGTCAGCGATTCTAGGGCCTTGCGATCTCTGATCATGTCACTGAGCGTATAGCCGGCCCCTCCACCTCCATTAACTAGCCCCCCGTTTATGCCGTTGTCCGTCTGGTTGATCAGAGTGGTAGTGAGGCTCAGTTCCTGCTGCAGACTGATTGTGGATTGGAGAAAGTTGAGATTGCTAAAGTCCGCCGAGGTGATCAGCGAGTTGTTCATCCTCTCCGTGTTCATGGAAGAGCAAATGGAAGACGGCGGCGATGTGTCCTGCAGGAAGGATTTGTGCATGTTCGTGGTGACCAGACCGCCAATTTCCAGCTGCAGCATCGTCGGTGTGCCGCTGACCGCTCCTGTGCCAGGGCCGCTCTCGTTGATCGAAGATGCATTTTGGACCTGCAGGAATACATATGGGATTAGATGACATTTCATAGCTTTGGCATGAAAAATTCAAGAAAATTTGTACTCACGAAATCCAGATTCCGTCGCTTGGGGCGGGTGAAGGTCTTCGAGTTGTGTTTGTAGGCTTTTGAGGGAAATAATAAAATAATGATGATTAGCTTCTAAAGGATTCGTTGGGTGAACTGACGACTTCTTTTTTCTTTTATATAATTATGTGAGCGCTTGCGTGTTTGTGTGTACTACTGTGTGTGTGTGTGTGTTTGTGTGTGTATTTGTATTTAAGAAATTATTAAGTAATTAATGATGTTATAGATCACACTCGGCGAAGAGCACATCTTCATTGATGATGAGCTCATCGGAATCATCGGTCAATAAGGTATCATCGATCTCTTTTTCCAAGTCAGAAACATCATTTTTATCTGGTAGCTGATCATTCGAATGTGAACGTGCTCCACGCAGTATCAAACGAGGCATATTCTCGAATTCATTTAGTTCTGGAGGCGGGATCGGAAGTATTGGAGGCACTGCCTTTATTTTTTTGAGTATAGTTTCTTCGCGCAAGCTTTTGGGAATAGTTGATATTAGGGGTGGCGTTGCCATTTTGATGTTCATTTTCTCCATCTGCGCAGCCATTTCCAGGCCAGAATCCACCTGGGACTCACTCAAAGCCTTAATGTTCCGCTCAACAGACTTTCCTTCAATGAGTGGAATGATGCAGAGCATATCGTTTTTTATTACCCAGACGGAAGATGATTCCTGCAGTTCCAATACAAAGCTGCGCTGGAAGTTACGCAGATCACGGCCAGTGGAGCTGTATTCCATAAAGCGGCCAGTTATGGTGAAAATGCGCACATGAGCAGTGGACATCTGTCCATCTACGTTGACACCTTGGAGATATGTTTCCATCTTGGGCAAGCGACCCAGAGCATGGACCACAGCCTTAGGACCAACCTGCAGCTTTGCCGAGCGGGCAAATGCAGATTGTGGGGTCTTGCAATTGCGATTGTAGAGCCTGTAGGCTAAGACGTGCTTCATCGTGTCCGGCACACTCAAAGAGAACGTGGCCAACTCATGGTAGCGTTGCTCCAGCTGGGAGCGTTGGTCGGGATGATCGAAGAACTGGTAGAAATCCTTGATAAAGGTATTGACGAAGTTTTCGGGTACTGCACTCCCGAACAGCTTCAATTTTGGCCGACCCATAGAAACGTTCTCCTTGTTCTGCGATTGGCGACATCCCTGCAGGTTCTGGAGTTGGGGAAGAATGGCTAGAATATCATTTTTCAGATTAGCCACCCCATTGCCCTGTACGATTAAACTCTTCAATTTCAGATTGGCCAGATACTGCAGATCGCGTAGATCGCCAATTTTGTTGCTGCTTATATCCAGGCAATCCAAGCCGGCTAACAATCCATTAGGAATCTCACTAAATGCCTTCAGCGAGCACAAGTAGTTGTCGCTGAGAACGATCTTAGACACCTGGGGCGTTTCTTTGGATATTAAACGCAGAACGCCCACCAAAAACTTGTCCACGTACAAGGGGCAAAAGTGAACGCCCAGTTCCGGCTTGGCGTGAAAACGCGAAAGGTTGAGAGTGCGAGTGGCGTCGTCGTAGGAGGAATGCAAAGCATCTTTGGCAGCCGCCTCGAATTCTGAAGTAATTACAGCATTCAGAGTGTGCTCGGGTATGCCCTCAATCACGCGTATCTGAATTCTCTGGCAGCTAAAAATCAAATTTAATTTTGTCTGCAGCCGCTTCACTCGATTGGCAGTCAAAAGGTTGTCCAATGAAAAGGATCCGCGTGAGCCATTGCGCTTGTAATTGAAAGGTTCGAGCGTCTCGGGCGTTACCAGGTATTTGAGGGCCAGGAAAATGTCCGCGTCAGCGACGTCCCCACAGCGTGACATTTCCACCGTGGTCCACTTCACGATGGCTTTGTTAGTCGTCCGGTATTGACTGCAAATGCGATCTAGCTTTTCAAGGATGAGTGAAGCAGTCACGTGTGAAGAGGCGGCCATCAGAGCTTCTGCGTACGCGTTCAACATTTTCTTGTCTTGTAAGTTTTTCTTTATGTGGCTCAGGCCGGTATGCAGTTGTGCTTTCATTTGCACCCCAAGGCGATCCGCCGTTATATTTATTTTTTCACTGGTTGGGACCTTCATCGTTTATTTTATTAAACCAAAAAACGATAATTTCGCAGAAAAACAGGCGTCGCAAACAGAAAACTCGAAAGTATGTGTGTCAAAGAAATTACGGTTAATGGAAGGGTTGTCAAATGGCAGCAAGATTCTAATGCATGGGCACACTTAATGCTCCTAAATAATACCATAAGGGAGCCCAAAGTATTTTTTGTTTTAAATTCAATCCACTACTTAGAAATTGAAACCACATATAAAACGTTTATGGAAAAAGCAGGCATTGTGATCGAGAGAAATACATATATATTGTAGTTTGGATTTGTATATATCATATATTTAAGACTAGTGAGGTCCTGAAGAGTAGCGGAATAAGACCATAAGTGCGAATATATGGGGTACCATTCTACCTTCTTTGAACCGGCCGCTCGCACGATTTTCAACCTAATTGCGAGCACACAAAGCCAAGCTATCCATTTGAAGAGTAGATTTTGTACAATTTTTGCTCTTGATCATTTCGTATTGTCGCAGAGGAAGTAAATGAGATTCATGGATTATTTACTTATTACACAAGATTTTAGCCATATTTGCGTGGCCAGTTTTTCCCCAGACCACGCACAGCTGTCCAGCATGTACCGCATATGGATGTGAGTCTGTGTGTGTCAGTTGATTAATTACCGCAACAATAACATTGGCGCTTGCCAATTATGGCGAAAACCACTTGGACGACCACGGAAAGTACGGAAGCGAGCGGCCCACTTCATATAGTCCAAATATTGTCAACGTAGCCGCCAGTTTAACCCAAATTTGTTTTTAGAAAGCGCAACTGCACATGAATGCATGGACATGTGTACACACTCGTACTTATTTACACACATATGGGCATACGAGTGTGTGTGTGCAATGCACTATGCATAGGTATGTATAAGAGGCTTACCCTGCTCATTGTTGTACTGCGAATACAGCGGAGGCTGATTATTCGTTTTCCACTGCTGAAGTATATTGGAGACATCGTCGTGGTTCTTATCCGCCAGGAATCTGCCAAGGAGTATCATAAGTATTTATAGCATGATGTCTCCTGCTCTTTCTGTGGCCTGTGCCATTAGCCATTAGCAGCAACAACAACACCACTGCATTACTTACATAGATGAATCATCCTTTAATGCCTCATCGATGTCCAGTATATCCATGTCCAGCGATGAGTAAAACTTTAGGCTTAGCTTGATACACTTTATAGCAATTACACTTAAATCATTGCAAGAAACGAAACATAAACACATAAACTCTATCTCTGGTCGTCACAGATTACAGGAAACAGAGGGTGTGGACAACAGGCAACACGGCCCAGAAAATGCAGCGCATGCAAGGGGAAATCAACCCCATTTGCCTAATATACCTTGAATACCTTGGTATGTTGTCTTCGCACGCGAGGTGAGGTTCGTACAAACCTTGCAATTTGCTTGGCTGCTTTTGCCTAGTGTCCATACCCTTTTTTATTGTCCATTCAAAATTACGAATCACTTTTTCGTCGCAGCAGAGATCACTGGTTAAAACATAGAGATGAATGAGAGCTGAACCCTGTTACTTGTCACGGATACCTTTAAGTAGTGACGCACGACCATAGTTGTGAGTTAAAAATAAATGCTATACAGGCTACAGCTTCGTGTGATGCGTTTTCAACCAAAACGGACTGTTTTCATTTTTAGGTTTTTTCATCAATATGTTTCATTTTCTAAATGCATCTAAATGTTAAATGCACAGCAAACAAGCCTATGTTATGTGTAACGGAGATTTTATTCTGATTTATCGATAGCCAAATCGATAGCGACAGCTGTTAGCACGAAGAGGTTAAGTGTTGTTCATGTATGGAAAATTATTATGTTAGGATATGAATTTATCTTAATTAAAAAAATAAACTTAATCGTTTCTATGTACAAATCCTCGCTAAAAAGGTTTTTATATTTGGTCTCAAAGTCTTAATTGAAGTGTAGTGGACAACGACCATTTGTAGTCACGGGTACTTTTACGCTATCGGTGACTACAGATTATTTCAACTATCGTTATGTATGGCGGGCAGCTGTTAATGCTATTAATCGGTGCAAATACGTCCACACTGACACTGTTACTTACCATAAACATTCCCTCTTTTGATTTTGTTTACAATTGAACTTCTTCAACAGGATGAAACGTGCCATAGAGTCCAGCACTACGCAACAATGTCGTTTCTGCATGAACAACTCGGTAACATGCGAGGATATCTTCTGCAAGGAGACTACGGGTTCGAGCATTTCTGAAATGTTGAATGGTCTTTTGAGCGAGGACTGCCAGGTTAAACGGGATGCACTGCCGCAGTGTGCCTGCCTGGCCTGCATACTGGCCACAAAAAGTGCCTTTAGCTTCAAGATGAAGTGTGAGGAGAGCTATCGATTCTTGTCTCAGCTCCTGCTGAACACACGCGTTGCAGAGAACAAGTTTGTAGATGAGGCACACAACAGCGAAGATGAGAGGCCACCCAGTGAGATACCCTTTGAAGAGGCTGGCTTCGAAGGGCAGCTAGATATAAAGGAAGGCTTGTCAGAGACGCATGAGGTAGCGGATCGGTTGGAGTTGGCAAAGGAAACCTGTCCCCACGTTGAGGGAAATCAGGGTAGGGCAAAGCAGACGTCATAACATTGTATTATAAAGAATTCTCTTGGTTGCAGAAATACAGAGGGTTAGACAGGAGATGGTTGAAATGAAGGAGGAGCCAGACGGATTGCGAGATGAAAATAAGCAGTCGATCGTTGCTCTTGAGACCGATTCGAGGATAAGTCAATCCACCTCTTTGCTGTGTTCCGAGTGTGGTTTGACTCTGAAGTCAAAGTACACGCTGGCCCAGCACATGGCCGCACACAAGAAACAGTTTGAGCGATCCCATCTTTGCGAGACCTGCGGCAAGGGCTACAGAAGCAGCGCCCAATTAATAATACACAAGCGCACGCACACCGGCGAGCGACCCTATCAATGCTCCCACTGCCCGAAGACATATTTCCAGAGAACGGCTCTCAAGGCGCATTTGATTACCCATGGCAAGGAGCGTCCATATAAGTGCTTACAGTGCCAGAAAGCATTTTACCTGCCGAGGAATTTGAAGGACCACCAAAAGCAGCACAATGGCGAGCGACCCTTTCAGTGTGTCAATTGCCCTTTGGCCTTCACCAAGAAAGCCAATCTGAGGACACATATGCGACAGCACACAGGAGAGCGACCGTTTAATTGCGACATCTGTGGCTTGACATTTGTCCAGAATCAGCATCTAATAACCCATCTTCGTGTCCACAACGAGGATCGTCCCTTCAAGTGCAGCGACTGTGATAAATCATTTTTCGTTAGCGCCAATCTAAAAAAGCATCTACGCGTCCACACCGGCGAGAAGCCCTTCAAGTGCGCTGTCTGTGGGCAGGACTTCAAGCACAGTCATCATCTCAAATCCCATATTCGCAGTCATACTGGCGAGCGGCCCTACAGGTGCAGCGAGTGCGAAAAGGCCTTCGCCTCCAACCAATCGCTGCAGAAACATATTGTGTGGCATGCAAGCAATAGAGATCGGGCGTACAAGTGCTCCCACTGCCCCAAGGGCTTCGACAGCTTACGCGGCCTTAAATATCATATGCGATTGCACAGATCCTCGTCAAAGGTGATGGAGAAGGTGGAGGCTCTGCACCCGTGTCCGATCTGTAACCTGAGGTTTAGCCTGCAGAAAACCCTGGATAGACACATGGCCATCCACAATAAGGACCAAAAAAGTATTGAGAGTAGGAATACCTCCAGAAGCGCATGCATTCACAAGGACGGATAGTCATCCCATTTGTCACTCTCTATAGAGAAACACCGTTTTCTGAGAATAATGCTTTAAGTTCAAATAAAAAATGTAAAATATTATTTGTTTCCCAACTTCTTCAGTTGTGTACATATTTGGATTTTGAATCGTTACATTCTCGTCGCCAATTTTAATATGCAGCATGGCCGTCGTCGCGTTGCCGCTTACCGTTCTGATGCCACATCCGTATCTGCGGGGCTGAAGGACAGATTAGATGCGAAAAAAATGTGAAGAATAGAGATTTTGTACTCACGTTATCAGGACTCGTATGACATTCACTTCTAAAAGATTTGGTATGTGAGTGAGTTACATTTTTATGAGTGTGAATTTTTGTGTGTGAAGGGTGTATATGTGATATATGTAGATATTGTAGATCGTCATATGGTCCTTGAAGTAATCGAATTCATCAGTCGATATGGTATCATCGATCTCTTGTTCCAACTAATTTAATTTTTATCTGACTGCTGGGTATCTTTTCGTAGGGGCTCGGATATGAATTCCTGATCATTCGAATGTGAAGGTGCACCAGGCACTATTAAACGAGGCATATTCTCGAATCCATTTAGTTCTGGAGGCCGGAAGTATGGTAGAGTGACAGTGTTGACAAATGACAAGCCACCTCAACGAACGAATGACACATTAAACATCAAGGTGCACGGTGACGCCATGTTTGATGAGAGAGAGAAGCCCGAAGTTTGTTGTACTGACTCAAAAGTAATCGAAATGCTTATAGCTTGAAATTTAGCACAAACAAATTTTTGTTTATTGATTGTATTGCAAAATTTGTGAATTTTTCGAGAGAATCGGAAAAAAAATATATTTTTTCGTTGATAAATTTCAGTCACACTACAGTATTAAACATGATGTCTTATAGACAACCTTTCCACAATTTCTGGTTAAATTTCGATGAATTTCAGGAGTGGCTACGCAATGTGCTAACTGACCCCAGAAAAGCGTACTGCTGCTTTTGTAAGGCAACAATTGAGGCCAAGCTGTGCGAATAAAGGCAGCATGCTGTCGCTAAAAAATATATTTTTAACCTTTTTTTTTTAATTTTTAGACTATTCTAGTTTTTTTTTTCTCTTCAATCTAGCTTATGGTGACTCTCAAAATCTGGCAACACTGGTACTGAGCTAAATAAGAACAGAAAAAAGAGCCTGTTGCGGTTGCGGACCACTTTATATACGAATAAACATACGAACATAAATCCATTATAGGGATAAGAAATAAAGTGCGTAGAGTGGGAAAATCAGTGCATCCGTTTAAATATAAAAGGCATGTTCAATTTCTGAATATATTGGTATATATGCATATATGTGTTTATTGGTAAGTTATGTTAATTAAACAATCTAAAATGTTCAACTTTCCGTTTCATTGTCCGTTCATTAAGGCAAGTTTTGTCTGTTGCACAGTTTTAATTATCATCTGCGCCCATTTCGGTTGCCAGCATGAAAAATATATTCATATATGCTATAACATAAATGCTTCACTTACACTTAGGTTTGCTTACGTACAGAGATTTCGATGAATCGCCACAGTTCCTCTAACTCTATTGCTTCAAGGGAAAATGTTGCGACTCATCAAAGGCAAAACGTGTAAACGTAAACGGGCTTTTAAAGCCCCGCGAACAAAAAGGCGCGATATGTTTTCATTTTTGATTATCAGTTAACAATTCAGAAGTAATCTGGCCGAACTAAAATGGAGATATATAGATCAAGAGGGAGAGAGCAAAGCGCTTACACGATTTGTGTCTAAACATAGGTACGAGAGTACGGTTACAATTACAATAATTATCATACATATATAATAATCATATCGAATAGTATGTGGTAAGTTTTTTTAAAATTAATAAAGCGTAATTAGACAGATTTTACTACGAACAGAAGAAGGGCGATGCGACGCTTCAATGTACATACAAATAACAATCAATCAAGTACAATAATACATTAAATACAGATACAGATACGCTCTCTATGTCTATGCCTGCCTGGGCTCTCCATTTGTGTGTGTGGTTGGTTGGTTGGTTGGTTGGTTGGTTGGTGTGTATAAATATTAAAAAAAAATAAAATATATCTTATTCACTGCTGTCCGTCGCACCACCCTCTACATTAAGAATATGAGAGTGGCATAGACCTTCCAACGCGGCTTCAGGTTTGTCCAATTAGCGCTGAAATAAACTCCAGAGCTTGTAGCTAGACACTCTCTTGGCCAGGTTGGCTGCTGCACTGCTGGGCGGTGGCGTCGAGGTCTCTGTGGCCAGCGCACGACGGTTGTTGATCAGCTTGGAGCGCATTTGCTCGTCGATCAGCTCGTGCATATCCATTTGCCACTGCTCCAGCTGCTGCGAGAGCTCAACCTTCTGTTGGATGGACTCCAGCAGCTGGCTGTTGGCCTGCATCAGTTCTACACGTGTCCTGGCCAGCTCCACCTCAGCCTTGGTTCGTCGCCCGTTGGCCGCATCGCGCTCTGTTTGCGCCTTCGAAAGCAGCTCATCCCGATCCGTATCGTCCTCCAGATCCCCGCGTGCTTGATCGCGCTCTTCCTTCACATTCTGCAGCTCCACATCGGTGACCGTGACCTTCGCCTCCAGTTGCTGTATCAGCTGATGGCTGCGCTTTATCTCATCCTCCTGCTCGAGTACAAGGTTACGGGTCTGGTCTAGCATCTTCTTGAAGTTGCCTGCATCTAGGTTGAGCAGCAATCGCGTCAGCTCATCAGACATGGCCGAGAGCATACCCTGTCGGAACTCAATGGCCATGTGCCCGCTATCATTGCGCTCTGTGCTCGAGATCGTGTTGTCCATGGACTCCAATTCCAGCGATATATCAGAGTTCAGACCTACGGCCAAACAAATGGTGTTAAGTGACGGGCAGACGATGGAATTGAAGATTCTGGTACGCACCTGAGTCATCGTCATGGCTCACTTTCAGAGAGTCCACCAGGGACTTGAGTTGTATGTAGACGGAACGAGCCTCCACCCACATATGATTGGGCTTCCCTGTTTCCGTATAGCTGCCATCGTCATCGTCACACTCCATTTCAAATTGTAGACTTTTTTTCCCAGGCATGCTGGAGCTAGTGTCCTGCAGGTAGGGGTAGGGGGATGATTTAAAATTAGTATTAGATCAGTATTCAGTACGCTTCTGTGGATCGGAGGCTGGGATGAGAGTTGGTTAATTTTAGCTTGACTTCCATGGTAGATGCTCGAGCATTTAGTTTGGGTTAGTAACGCTTTATGTTTGGTTAGTTTATGCGACTGTAAAGTGGAAGGCAATAACTTACGGCGCCCAAGCGTTCGCTAAGGACATTGTTCTCTCGCTGGGAGCGTTCCAGCGCCTGCAAGGTGGTCTGCAAATAATAAATATACATTAGTCTGTTGTGCAGATCCAAGTTCATAAATATTGATAGAATGGAGTTTAATCTGGACTGCAATAAATAAAGCAAAAAGAAAGTTCCTCCCTTGCTTGGGAGCCGATAAGCTGTGGGAGGCACTTGAGGAACTGCGCAGTGGGTTCTTTTGGCTCATAAATAATCTTCAATCAACTCCACTCCAGTCAACTGATCACGATTTCGTGCCGTCGACGTGATAAAGCCAATTCTGATTTGTTTCCCCTTTCTTTTCTTTTCTTTCCCTTTTTTTTTTTGTTTGTTTGGTACTGTTTTGTATTGGCTCACCTCTAATTTTGTTTCCTGCTCGCGCGCGTGTCGCTCCAGCATGTGTATTCTGTCGGAGGCCTCCTCCAGCGATGAGGTGAGGCTCTCCTTCTCCTCCTGGGCGTGCTGCAGGCGACGCTCCAGCTCCTGCCGCTTGCCGGTGGTGAGGTTGAGTTCGGTTTTGATGGACTCCAGGCTGTTGACATGGTCCTGCGAAAAGATTTGCCATTGGTTAAGTGGCTTTAGATTGCTTTAGATTATGGCCTTCTGCACTGACCTGCAGGCTGCTGTTCCTGTAGTGATACTGATCCTTTAGCTCCTGTATCTGTGCGCTGAGCTTTAGTTCGGTGGCGTGGGCCTCCTGTATCTGTTCGGTGAGCCGTGTGTTCTGGTGCTGCAGCTCGTCGATCAGTATGGTCTTCTCCTTCTCCGCCTGCCGGATGGCCGCGTCCTGGGTCTGTAGCTTCTCCTTCAGCTCGTTGAGATCGGACTGCAGCTCCAGCACACGCTGGTCGCTTTCGTCCTCGGCAATGGCCAGCTTCTGGCGCAGCACATGCTTTTCCTGTTCAAGTTTCTGCAATGGGCAAAAAAGGAAAGTTAATTAGAAACGATGTATGTATGTATGTGCACCACACGTGTGCCCAAGTATAAGTACGTACTTGAAGACACACACATCTCTATTGTTTGTTCTATGACGTGGTATTTGTCAATTGTACGAGGCAAGAGACAATGAAAGTAAGGCAAACAATGTGCACGTACCGCAGGCAAACCGCAAGGTTAACGCCGCTCTCAGCGCTCTCGGCGGCTACTAATTGTTTAGCTGCTTAGTTATTTGCATTTTCAATTTGCCGCAGGTTGGCCGAAATGCAAGAGCTGCCACCGACACTCCTCCCTCTCACTTAATTTATTTAATTGCGGCCCGCCGCCCGCTTTGTCTGCGGTTTTGCATCAGTTTGGCCACACTGTGCTGTGCCGCAAGCGAGGCAGCCACAAAACTCTTAAAACTCCCAAACAAACGCCAAACAATGCCAACGACTCTTGACACCAACAACAGGCAATAGGCAACAGGCAACAGGCAACAGCCAACAGACAACAGCCAACAGCAGGCGAAACGCAGGCATGGCATCCCATCCAAAGCAATAAATTCCCACTCGAATTAAAATGCAATTGAATTTTCACTTCTTCTCTTTTGTTAGACGCCAGATGCAGAAAGCGGTGCGGTGTGCACAAAAACCATTTGAAAAGCGCATCAGCTGGCCAAGGGGGCCTTCCAGTGGTATTCCAGTGGAAGGGAGGAACAACAATCGATAGATCTTGCTGGAACGAAAGCCGATCAATTCTAGGCTATCGTTTCGATGTACCGATGAGAAGCGGCAGCAAGTATTAAAACTAATTTGCATAATTGACA